TTATATGTATTTTCATAGCCAGCCATATTAAAATGTAAAAAAGGATTGAATTTATGTATAAAACCCCGTATCTTCTGTGTTTGTAAAAATAACTATAGCATGTGATATATTGCTGAAAAGCAAAAAAAAAATCTCCATTTTTTTAGGTCGTGGCCAGCTACGATTTCCATTTAAAAAAATATAACTGGGTCATAACTCTGGAATCTTAAGTCCTATTAAAAATCTAATACCGGCATTCAATTCTACGCCAAAGAATTAGTCTTGAGCAGTTTTCTCTTTAACTCTACCTTATTTAACAGCTGAGATACAGACATATTCAAAAGTGTCACAATAACGAGAAACGCCCTGTAACTCAGAAACAATTGAAGATCGCTAATTTCTGATTTGACAATTGAGTTTGCCATGAAAATCGAGTTCGAGAATGTGGTGTCAGATTTATCATATCTTTAGTAGTTTCTGAAATACCCTGAAATCCCACCGAAAATGGACCAGCCTGTACATGTACTGACTAGGATCCGTCGCTGGTTATTGAACTGAAAGGCATCAGGGTTGACATACAATCACAGTTCTTGATGAGTCCGCAGAGGTCCTGCACCGAAGTCCGCGTTAGGTCTGGTCCATTGGCCTCTCTAGATTTTACCCATCTTTGGAATTTCGCCAACTGCAACCGATGATCGACTTGTGTTCTTGGCATGATACTTTTGTTATTTTTTGTAGTTCCCAGTTCGAATTCCGTAAAATTCGTAAAACTTTTCAGTTTCCGAAACTGGAAACTGGGGTGAATTTTATATGTCGCAGTGTGTCGTTGCGGTGGTTGCTCTGCCAACAGCATCGGTCTTTGGTGGAGTTGTCTGTTGTGCCTTCGGATTTTGGCGAAAATTTTGGAAAGATAGGTGAAAACTTTCATGCCTCATCTTCCACTTCCCGAGGAAGGTAGTTGGATCTCTTTGGATTTTGGTTTCTATTTTGGCCGGGATTGGGCCTACGTAGAAAAGGTTGGAGACGGCTTCTCTTCTTGGTTTCGATTGGAAAGTTGAGCGAAAATTTAAATTGCTGCTCTATAATATTTTAGCGCCAATAAGAAAAATTGCTATTATAATAGGCACGGATTAACTTGGCAAAACTTTCTTATATCGATTTCTTTCAATGCTTGATCGAAATCAAGTGATTTGAAATCCCAGATGAGCGGGTAACTACAAATTTGAAAAGTTTCATTTGATGACGTAATTCCTGAACCTTCGCGTGTGTTGGAATATTTTTATTACACACAAATACGTCCGTTGGTGTTCTAACAACCAGCCAAATAGCTGTTGAAAACACTTAGATATAATCTCTGGCATATCTCACGGATGATCTGATCCCATGCATCAGCCCTGAGAACGCGGTATGCCCCCTTGAGAGCCGGGATCTCCGATCGTTAGTATTAGAAATGTGTGGGCGCGATGTGCAGCCGCTCGGATGCGTCCATTCACCGCCAACCAACTTATTACCATTACCATTGCCAACAAGTGCGCGGGCTTTGTGGGACCTGACCCTGCGGTTGCGAGGGAGGATACGAGTTTTTAATATAATTGGGAAAGAATTCACTCTTTAGGGCCCACTTTATTTGCGGCAGCGGCCGGCGAGGAGAGGGGGGCGTCTTTTGTAAGCCGTCCCTTGAGGTATCACGGCCCATGATTTCTGATAAAGAATATCCATACTTATGTATGATTTTGGTGTACACTGATAAAAATTGTGTATTTTTAGACAGGGTGTTTCTGAAATAAACGCGTTCTTTGAAAAGGGTGATAGAGGGCAAAAAAATGAGCAACTTTTACCAAGTAACTGATGGTCTAAATGCTTCTGTTTTCGAGAAAATTAATTAAGAAATTTAACCATAAATGTAAGCCGACTCTGTGCATCTTGTGCACGTGCGTCATGTGTTGCAGTATTACCGGTGCATAAAATATTTTATGATTAAGATCTAGCAGATATGGTGTAATGTACTAACAGTACAATTTAAATGAGACTTGTCGTTTTGCGTATTTGCACGTAAGCGGACTAATTTTGACCGTCGTTTCGAAGCATGAGCAATTTTTGGAAAGACGATATTATCGATAAGTAATTCGTTTACTCGTTTCATATTTTGTTACTTTTAAATGAGATTTAAACGATAAATGATACATATTGCATCATTTACTGTATAAATCTGTTTAAAGACAGGGTGGCCAAATGAAAACGAAACAGAGCCATTTTCAGGAACTGCGTCAAGATTGTAGAAAAACGCTCAGACCCGTCGATTTTATATTAAAGGGGGACATTCTTTACTGGTATTTTTGACTCCGCCACTTTCGCCCCCAAGCAAGGGTAAGCATCACCCCAAAATATTTAAATGGCTTTGGGGGTTGAGTAACATCTCTTTTGAAAGCTCTTACAATTCTTTTTACAACAGACTTTAAATTTTATAATTCCGCCCAATACTTATTAAGAATTTTGATTTTAAAGTTGAAACTTATGTACAAACAATTAGTAACGGTAAAAATGTCAGTCATTCGAGTTAAGTACGCCAATGGTATAAATTTAGTATTTCTTGCGTTACATTGGTTTTTGGCGATTTGTTATCACTTTCGTAAAAAAAACACAATTGTAAAAAACAGAAATGAATGCTATACACACACAATGAACGTAAAATTAGTGGATTCCAAATTATTTTCTAGTATTATTTGGAAGCGTTGGTTGGTAGTTTATTTAATTGTGTTTTTGAAAATTAAACACTATGGTTTATTCCATTGCGGAAAGGGTAGATATCATTTCGCTTTACTTTATGAACAATAAATGTGCGAATAGAACAGCTCAGCTATTTAATGAACAACATCAAGATCGACATGTCAGGAGGAAGTATGTTCTAGAGTTAGTAAAAAAATTTCAAGAGACAGGGAACGTAGCCAATAAAAAACGAGAAATTGAAAAACCTATAGTTAATGAAGCTAGTGAAGTTGCAGTTTTGGGACAAGTTCATCTTGATCCTACATTAAGTACGAGGCAGCTGGCATCTGTGTCTGGGATCAATCGAACTAGCATACAAACCATTTTGAAGAAGAATAAATTCCATCCATACAAAATACATTTAGTCCAGGAACTTCATGAGGATGATTATGACCGCCGTTTGCAATTTTGCGAAATAATGAGTGAGCGAGCAGGGAACGATCCACAGTTCCTTTTTAACATCTGTTTTTCTGATGAATGCAGTTTTTTCTTGAACGGGACGGTAAATCGTCACAATTGCCGCTATTGGTCCGATTCAAACCCAAGAGTTTTTCACGAGGTGCATACACAGCAACCGGAAAAATTAAATGTATGGGCTGGAATTTTCGGTGACCGGCTGGTGGGTCCTTTTTTTCTACCTGGTAATTTGACTGGCCAAATGTATTTGCAATTACTGGAAGACGCTATTGACCCTGCCTTGACTGATATTATTGAAAATGTTCCAGAGTATGATGAAGATAATTTGATTTTTCAACAGGACGGTGCTCCTCCGCATTATGCGTTAATTTCCCGTCAGTATTTGGACCAAGGTTTTCTATGGAATTGGATTGGGAGAAGAGGCAGCATTGAGTGGCCTCCACGATCACCAGATTTATCGCCTCTTGATTTCTTTTTGTGGGGATACCTAAAAAGTAAAATCTATAAAACACAGCCAGCGTCGCTGAAAGATTTGCGTCAAAGAATCGTCGACGAATGCCGTCGAATCACTCCGGAAATGCTTCGGAATGTGCGCGAACGTTTCGAACAAAATCTTTATTCTTGTATGGAAGCGGGCGGTCATCAGTTTGAACATTTAATCAACTAAGTAGTAAATAAGCAACTAAACATAATTTAAATTTTAAAATGTAATTTTTTTTCAAAGTATTGGGCGGAATTATAAAATTGAAAGTCTGTTGTAAAGAGAATTGTAAGGGTTTTCAAAATAAATATTACTCAACCCCCAATGCCATTTAAATATTTTGGGGTGATGCTTACCCTTGATTGGACGTGAAAGTGGCGGAGTCAAAAATACCAGCAAAGAATGTCCTCCTTTAATCTAAAATCGACGGGTCTGAGCGTTTTTCTACAATCTTGACACAGTACCTGAAAATGGCTCTGTTTCGTTTTCATTTGGAGACCCTGTATACCTATTTAATGTAATTTTTCCTTAATTTACTTGTATAAATACGTCAAAGTAACCACTGATGTAATGTGTAATTTTAAATAAATTTTTATAAATGTAAATGATAACGCTCTGCAGATAATTAAAAAAATCATTCGGAAGCAGAATAAATCTTACATTTTTTGTTCAATTTTGTTTTAAACAAAGGCATATAATGAAATTCACTTGATTTAGCGCCAGATTAAGTAGGTCAGTAGGTATCTCATTTTGCAGACCGTGGATTGTTTCAGTATAACCTTGAACCAATTAAAGATTGATATAACGTGCAAAAAGTGCAAGCAAAGTACACTAATCCTCTCTTATAACATAAAAGGCATTCCTGCCCTTAAGACCCAACACATTTAAGATTTAAAAGTCACTTTTGATATTTATGTACCTTATTATTGCTAGTGCTAACAGAAATATGGGTTTGTTGCTTCTAAAATCAAACTTAGTACGAGCCTGTTCTAGTTTATTATTCGTATTTTATCTTTTTCTATAAAATTCCGCTTGCCTTCTGTCATTTTGTTTAACTAGTCTATCTTTTAAATTGTTTTTGCTGTTGGGTAATTGTATAATAAAACAAATAAATAATAAATATATGAACAAATTAAATTAAAAATCAGTTTTACTTTTGTTTACTTTCCCACGACCGTCAGTTGCGATTTAACTGGGTATTTTTTTATGTATAGATAAAAATGTCCGTCTCCGACGGTTAAAACCCAAATCGGCGGTTTCGAGATTTTCCATAAACTGGAATAACAGACCCCTGTGACAGTTAGGAATTATTTTGTTTTCTTAGGCCATACCTCACGTGGGATTTTTGTTGTTACAGGTGAAAATATGGTTCCAGAATCACAGGTACAAGTGCAAGAGACAGGCCAAGGAGAAGGCGATGGCTGAACAAAACCAGCACAACCAGGTAAGCTGTCGACATGGGCGGAGATCGGTTCATTACGAACATGTCAATTTAATTCCTCAAATACGAAAAAGTACTTAACGTAAAGTTTTTTTCATGCATTCCCTTTTTTTTTATTATGTATGCACTGCTGATACTGACGTCGAATGGAGAAACTAAAAGAAATTGATACAAATGCAAAGAAGAATTTATTTTTAAATTACTTCTCAATAGTATATTAAATAACAAGGTTTGAAAACGACTCTTTGCACACGAGCGAGACATATTGGTGGACCGAGCCGAAGGCGAGGTCCACAAGTCGAGCGAGTGTGCAAAGAGGTTTTCAAACGAGTTTTTTACGATACTTTTTATACGACTGCAAACAGAGACCACAAAAATCAAATTTTAATTTAAATCGTTTTTATTACTAAAATTGCCAACGCATTAACAAAATAAATTAAATACAACTTTTAATTTAACTCGTTTTTATTAAGAAAATTGCTAACGCATTAACAAAAGAAACTAATATTTAATATTTATGGTAACATTTGAACATTCCTTCAAGGTTACGCTGGGAAAAGCAGTATTATTGTGCACCTTGTTTTCGGTAATAGAGAATATTTTTGGTGTCGTGTTTTTAGTGCAGTTTTTCAGCGTGCGGTCGTTGTTTTCTTGTTGTATTCCAGTAGACGATCGTTGTTCTGGTTCTGTGGCAGCAGAAGACACTGAAGACTCTATCTTTTTCGAAACTTCCATTTTATTTCTCAAACAGTCATCAACGTAGCCTTCGGCAACTGTACTGGATTTCCACCCTCCATGGCGTTTGAGGGCAAGCAGATTTGAGCCAGAATTGACTAAAATTGTGGCCGATGAACGCCGAAAACAATGTCCCGTGTAACTTTCTGGATTCTCTAGCATCAAAAACTTGGCGATTTCCCTAGCCATGTTTCCAATTTTGTTGATGCCAACGTTTTGGCTTGAACATTTTCCGTTTTGATAGTTTAAAAAAAACCTGCCTGTCTTCAGATTAGGAGGACGAAGAGCACAGTACTTTTTTAAGATAGTGTAAAGGTTTCCTGTAATTGTAAAACACCTTGGTACCTTTGTTTTTGTATTCTTCAGTTTAATCAGCATAGCACTGCCGAAATCTTTGGTGTCTTCTATTTTGAGATAACATAATTCCTCCCTTCGACATGCCCCAGATAGTCCAACTGCCACCACCGCCTTGATAAGTAAATATTTGTCGTCTGATGCTTTCGTCAAAAACCGGCAAAAATCATCTTCTGTGAGGATTTGGGACTTCTTTGGGACGTAGTTTTCGGATTTTCGTTTGATTAGCGCTTGCAACTTTTTATAGCTTCCAAGATCTATGTTGTGATTGGCACTTAACGTTGACTTGAGCATCGAAAAAATCGTCCACAACGTCGAAGATTTATATTTCTTAGATAGTTCTTCAAAATACACCATTACTGCGTTTTCTGAGAAAGTTTGGACATTTTTGGCTAGTCGCCAGTCCATAAATCGGCTTAACTCAGCTTCATACCTGCTTCTGGATTTTGTGGGCAGCAGTTCCGAACATATTTCGCTTGCTTTCTGTAAAATCTCTTCAGAATCACACATTTTCACACCCAAACTTCGGGAATTCAACAATTTTTGAAGTATCTAATCAACAAAATAAAGGAGCCGTGACGGTTGCTATGAAACTCAGCCAACTTGAAACATTGCATAATTTGGGTGACAACATCAAACAAAAATCACAATCTGGAGACGCGTGTGCAAAGATGACATAACCGTGTGCAAAATGTTTAGCACACGGCGTGTGCAAAATACCGTTTTCAGAGCGTGCTTACCGTGCGCAAAACCCCCTTTTGCAAGGCAGTCGTATAAAAAGAAAATTTCAATTAGAGGTGATACATTTCGATTCTTTTAAAGAAACTTTGAAAAAGGAAAATTAAGTAACTTTTTAACTAAGTAAATGAAAAATGAACAATTGATGCTTGCTTTTTGCCAACAGCGTTATTTTATGGATTTATAATTCAGGTAATCCTTTTTTAAAATTACTTGCAGCTCCGCCACTGTGCATGACTGGTCGCGTCTGCTTCTCATTCATCTACCTCCACTAATATTTTTAAATCCTACATCAACAAAACGTCCTTTCACCGTTAACAAAGAAAGTTATTGTAGCAAAATTTATTCACACTTAACATAAGTCCTTAATCTCATTTTGTTCTTTTTTTTTTGGTATTAAGGTACACGTTAGGCACTAGGTTTATTTTTATAGTCGCGTCTTATTAATCTAATTATCCTGAATGGGGTCACTTCTCACTTTTTTCCAAGAGTTTTATGCAAAAAAAAAACAATATTACGTCAGAAATGACAAAATATGTGGGGTCAATCGCCAGAGAAAAATTTCGTGAATTAACTAAATCAAACAAAGAAGAAGAAGAGATACCTAAAGACTGAAATATGGTAGTAGGTAATAGTTTCCACCTAGCTTGCCACTATACAGGAATGGAAACAAAAGACTGTAGTAACTATACAGGGTGATTTCACTTTAAATACAGAAACTGCAGGACTAGATTCATTACCAAAAAATAAGTAGAGTTTGTTCTATAAACTTTTTCCTGCGGGACTCGGTATTCGAGATACAGGGTGTTAAAGTTTACAAAAATATATGTTTTTTCTGCCTTCTCTTCATAATGGGCTGACGGAAATGAATGAAATTTACTACAGCATATTCACTTAATTAGAGCGTTTATTGAATGTAATATTTGGTTTTAACCAGTGTCGTGGTATTGGAGGTGCCCGTCCCATTTTCCTTAGAAAAAAAAACGCCACTGGCGGATTTTTGTAGAAATAATGTTACTTTTAGGTAGTGTTACGTTGAATGAATGAAAAATGTTACTTGGTCTTTTTAATAGTAGCAGCCGTTTAGGAGATGATTGGGCTTGTTTTTACGTTTTATTGAATTTTCCTTAAAAATTAATCCGTTTATTTGATGAAAACCTCCTGGTTTTAACCAGTGACGTGTTACTAAAGCGTCCGAAAACTTTTCCCAAGAAAATAATACGCCAGTAGCGGTTTTTTGAAGAAATAATTTTATTTGTGGAAAAAATATCAAAACTGAATAATAAAATAACATTAACAAATAGGCCGAGTATTGCGATATTCAGGAATGATGAGAGTACCTTCGTCAATGTGTTGATTGCAACAGGCTGAGAAGTACATTTTTGATTGATGTACCTTAAAAAGGATTTGTCTTGTGTTAGGAGAATTGGGCACAGAGAAATATATTTTCTACATATTTCAACAGCATTACGCAAAATCCTTCTTCTATAATTCGAAAATTTCTTGAAATGACCGTTCTGGTGTCAGGTATTGAAACAAGTAGGTACCTGCCAACATCCTGTACGTCACTAATTTTCAAATTTGTCATTTCGCAACATCGACAGGCATCAGAAATCCCCATGCTACCTAAAATAATTCAAAGTTCGCTATATACCTAACAACTAACCTTAATCATTAAATATTCTTTATCGGAAGCCCCAGTAAAAAATTCTTCAATATGTGCTTTTCTAATACTGCAGCTTTTTTTGCTTTGTATCCTCTCGATTCACTCTTAAAATAAGCTGTAAGCTTGTTATATTTTCTAATATCTATATTTTTGTAGTCCTTTATAGTAGCCTTCAACATCGAATACTTCGACCACATTGATGAAATTGCATTTTTCTTCAAATTTAAAAAATACGATAGCATGACTTCTTCAATATAATTTATTGTCATTATTCTCCGTTTTCCCCTCCATTCGTCAAATTCCGCGAATAGTTTTTTATAATGTTCCCTGGATTTCGCTGACAATAAATGGCAAATTGCTTCTTGAGTTTCTTCAAGAACAGCCACAGGAATACAATAGTTTCTTGCATTTTTACCAAATTCAGATAGAACTATTTATAAAATAATTGATAATAAACAACGTACCAAAGCTACCAGTAGGTATAATAAAACCGTTTCATTGAATACTAGTAATAAATATCAAGTCGTGCGAATTTTTTTATTAAATTCCAATAATTCTGATTCCATAAATATGATTGTGATTGTGATGTGGTTATGAATAAAACATTGTATTGCATTCGTGTTTTAATTAGCTTATAATACGTCCTGAAAATTTCATTAAGATATCTCTAATGGTTTTTACACAATTAATTTTTTAATTTAAATTTCGGATAATGTTAATTGCAAAAACAACTGTTGTTTAAATTAAGATTTTGAAAAACGGTTTTAGGGTACGATTGTTGGTAATGACTACTTTTGGTTAAAATATATGAACTCAAATACCACGATAAAATGGAAAATAGGGGGACCACTTGATGTGATTTGACTCGAACAACGAAAAATAAAGCCAATAGACAAGAAGAGCAGCAGAAAAATGAGTCAAAATATTGAGCTTGACTTCAGTGTTTGGAAAATTTTCTGGTTGAAAGTCCTACTTTCCTGTTTGCCTGTTTGCAATTAGTAGTCGATCAAATTATAGAAAAGGGCAAACATTTCTTTTAGTATAAATAGACGTTTTATTTAGGAATCTATTGTAGTTAGTTAAACTCTCAGGAAACTTAAATAAGAAATAAATTAATCAATCAAACCATTGTTGGTATAACTCGGCAGTATAAATAATCGTACAAACAAGCAAATTAACGGACGATTTCGAATGTGGGAAGCCCGTTGAGTCGTTCTAGCTCCCCGCTTAAAAAATAAATAGAAAATAGAAAGTTTCGCCCGGGGCAGTTGTCATGTCCAGAATTCACTTCGCGTTGGACAAACAACAGGCACGTCTCTTGCAGCGCGCTCTGGTACATGTAGGACGCTTACTACACTGGCTTTCTTGCCCCGATAAATTCCAATCTTGAACTAACAGAGCGGTTTTCAGCTCGAAATTTCTTGTAAAAATAATGGAACTAGGTTACTCAGTGTTTGAAGTTGTTTAAGTGTTTCTTAGGCCAAACTAAGACACCAAGTAAGAGAAGTTT